ACTGGAAAATGCATTTATTGACTTTATCAATTCTAAAAATTCTGAATTCTACTCAGACGGAATTAATAAGTTACCAACACGTTGGGAGAAATGTATTGAGAGTATGGGAAATTATTTTGATTAAAGAACATTGCTTTAAAGTAACTAGTTTCTTTTTTTTTGTTTAATACCAAAATCCTGCATTATTTTCCGGACAACCCAATATTATTTTTATTTAATTTTTTTTTTAATTATTCAAGAACTAAATTGATTTGATGACTTACGTGACAACAGTTTCTTTCCATCTTGAGTTTTCTGATGACAAACCGTTTATCAATCTGTTTGCCAAGTCAATAGAGTTCAACATTTTTTCTTCTTCTGCTTGGCAAGCCATTTTTTCAGCTACGGCTTGTTCAAACTTTCTTGTCAAAGCTCCAAGCTCTTCTTCCAGTTTCTGTGAAGTGTGGTTTTTGTTACAAAAATATTATAAAACATGATTAATTACAATAAATTATTACATTGATTTTATTATTAATTTCTTCGAGCTTGGCCCTTGCCCGATTCAACTCATTCCTAGCAGCAGCCTCTGCGTTTTTCTTAGGTAAAACCACCATCCAAACTTCGTGGAATTTCATTATATTAATTACCCATTCACAGAGACCTAACAGAGTGTATATTAAAAGTATATTACATGTTACATTTATTATTACACTTTAAATAGTCAAAAAATGTACCGCCAGCAGCAGACGATTTAGTAACTACTCTCTTCGGATCAAAATCTGGATCAGCCAAATAAGGTTGAATAGCCTTGACCACTTCTGGGTGGATATTTTCCTTATTGAAGTTTTGTAAATTGTATAGAAACTGATCCACAGTACCCATCATTACCTATTAAAACAATTATTTCATTAAACCAACATAAAAAAATAGGGCTAAAGTTTTACCTTGTATGATAAAACATATCTATATAATGAACAGACAGGGAGTGAAAAATAGTGATTTTTACCTTACATGCTTTCCAGCTTCTGTCTCTTGGTACTTTACCTCCTTTCGACATCAAAACCAACACGGCACTAGCAACTTTTGCAACTGCTTCATGAGGTGTACCAAAGGATTTCAATTCAATTAGATTTTTCTGAAAAAAAGTTTTAATAACTCATCTCTATTCAATTGTTCATCCAATTTAAACGATTGTATTAATACTTTGTCTAGAGTATCCAGAGCAGCTGCAGCACCTTCCAGTGCAGGCATAGCTTTTTCTAAATCTTCTTCACACATTTTTTGTTTGATAGACACGTCAATTTCTATAATTTGACATTTTCTTTCTTCTTCCTGAGCTGTAATGCAGACAAAAAATTGCCAAAATAAATTCTTGAGTTAGTTGTATTATCCATCTACATACCAAAAACCTTTTCTTTTGCAACTTTCTCGGCTTCTCTTCCTACTATCCTCACAAGCTCACTAGCAGCTTGATTTTTCTGTGCTACAATTTTCTTTTGGTCATTCAATTTTGATTTCAATAATGCTGCCTGAAACATTAAAAATAATGTATATACAAATATGTGCCTGTTGTATTTTAGTTTTTTTTACCTCTTCTGAGCAAGTTATTAGCTTTTGTAAACCACTTTGAAGTCGTTTTATTTTGTCTCGATTTTCTTTAAATTTCGCTTTTAGCAATTTTGTGTAAAGGCTAATGAGCTCCAGGAATGATTTGGGTGTTGTATAATTATATCTTCTTTCATTTAGCAAGTATGCATTTGACATGTTATTCACACTTGTATGAATAGCTGCCATACATAATGACATAGGCGATTTAAGTCGATCCTAAAATAAGTAACATATAGATTAAAAAAGGATACAAACGGATGTCTAAAAATTGAACAAAAAACATACAGGCAAATTTTCGTTATCAAATAAGAATCTGAAAGACACATTTTCTAGAGCTTTTTTGGGCCATTCCATAAACCAGTCTATTGTTGTACAGTTGACCAAAGCTGGAAACTTTCTAGCTCTAACTCTAAGAGTTGATCCGACGGGTGAAAAGCACAAAATTGTTTTTATATTTCGTCTCACTCGGTCTATGTAAAATGACCAACTTCCATCTTTAGTCTGTTTCATCCCTGCACTTTTTGCCTGAAATAAGTAAAATATTTAATGCTTAAAATTAAAGGCGAGGTGTAAAAAAAATGTTTACCTCTGGGGCGACAATTTTACAAATATTGTCTATTTCATCGTCAGCGAAAAGGTCAGGAATTTCACCTGAGGCCAACATATCATTAATAGACACCAAAAACTTTTCTTCTGGTATTTGCGAGTCTGTCATCAGGAACATCATTGCGACATTTTTTAATCCTGCTTTAATATATAACTGAGCAATATCAGCCTATTTATTGGAATGGAGAAATGTCAAATTTTAATTTCTAATAATAAAACTTCTGATATTTAGCTGAGATCTACCTTCAAATCAGGAATACCGTAGCCTTTTCTTAGCTGTATTTGGAATGCATCAAGACTAGAAATAAATGCAGACAGTCTTGACAATGACTGCTTTCCACTACCTCCCACGCCAACAAGTAATGCGTTTCCTCTTGGCATTTCCATTACTCTGTTTATTCTACACAAACATTTTATTATATTACATATTTTTTTAACTGATTTTATTTTAATTAAATATATAATTAACAGACATTTAATTAATAAAAAAGATAGATAGTATACATTCTCTGGTTTATAGTAGTTAATAATGTAATCTGAGATCCCAAAGATGGAATTAATGAACCTTCGGAAAATCTAGGCTGTGTTTAGGACTACAAACTTTTTTTTAGACCAAGAAACATACATTTATATGCTTGCACAACCCACAGAGTTTCGGGCTGTTGGCTTTGGGCTTGGGGAGTGGCCTTATTTGAGATAACGTGTGTATGCCTTCTACCCCCGAATTAAAATCTGTCATGCGATAGGGTATTTGAGGGAGCAATTATTTTGTTCAATTGGGTGGGGTAAAAAAAGGGTGATTGCTGCCATGCTTATTAGCAATATGGGAAAACTTGCTCCTTCTACATCAGTATTGCACAAAAATTATCTATGCAATTTTTATTTGGTTATTGAAACCAATTGAAAAGTAAAAAATCTAGATATTTATGAGGAAAAAAATGATATTAAATAAAAAAAGTTTTTTTTTCTTAAAAAAACATTTTTAATTTATTGTCACATATTTAAAATAACTATTTCTTAATTAACGATAAGTAAACAACAAATCCACAAAGACCTTCAAACAAAAGAGTAAGAAATTCTAAGTTTTATCAGCTGTTTTAAAATTGAATTTTATATTAAAAGTTATAGAAAAATTTCTGTCTTAAATTTCTAGTTTTCAGGATAATGAAATTGAAGTTACCGGCATATGTGGGCCATTGCATCTTCAAAAAGAACCAAATTCATTGTTGAAATTATGTCATTGTATTGTGACATTGCTTCGTTCAGCAGTTTGTTCAAATGCTGCCAAGAATCACAAGGCATGTACTTTGGATCACCCAGGCCTTCGGAAAAGTGGCAGAAGAGCAAAGGTTTTACAGAGTATTCCTCTTCCACAAATTCCTAAATGTGTAAGTACTTATTATTGCATTTGTTCACAAAGTTTTCATCGATAATTTGTATATAAAAAATCTTTTTCACTCACAGGAGCAACTCTCTTTATCGTTTCAATAAGTACTTTGTGAAACAGGTCCTGGTCCTTGTGTTCTACGAGCCGGTCACAATACACTCGAGTTGCTTCATGCATCCATAGCTTTAACAACACGACTGGAGCTACAATGCAATCTGCGCTCGTTTGGATCATAATCTGAAAGGAACAAAACAAATGTATGGCATAGAACGATTGTTTGAAGAAATACCTACCTGAAAAATACTGCTTAAATCCCTTAAATTAAATATGTAGTGGAATTTGATAGCAGTCGGTAGGAAAGTTTGTTGCATTTTGAAGTGCAATTGAATAGCACAGTTAACAACTGAGTCACAAGTTTTCATGACTGTTTGTTGGAACTTATTTGTTGGATTGTGAAGATGTTGTGACAGAAGCGTTGTGTAGATGTGATTCAAAGCTTCATTACTTGGAAAACTAAAGAAAAAAGAAAATACAAAAAGTTGATGATTCTTTGTTGTTGATATTTTAACAGTAATTTACTTAGATTATAAAAAAAAACTTAAGAAGATAGTTTATAATGCTTTAAATATGCTAATTTTTGTACCTTAGAGCAAAAACTGCAAAATGTCTTTGTAGTCTTCCATCAATAGAGAAGCTTCCTGCAGTAGGGTTCATGCAGGCAACAAACATTATATTGTGAATATCTTTCAACGTCAATTTCTGTCTGTCGTACCAATGCTGATAATCCATGTGCTGTCTAATTAAAGTGTGTGGTTGTACAGTTCCATATTTATCAACCTGAAATTTACAAACAACGATGCTTTGAAACAATAATGATACAATTAACCATGGTACAACGGCTATGTACTACTAACTTCAGGCATGTTCATATCGTCAATAAAATATATCATATGCTTGTTCCCTTGTGGCGCATAATTTCGTCCAGCTTTCTTTTCAAGGGGTTTTTCAAGAACTTTTTGAAGCAATTCTATCAAAGGAATTTAAAGAAATTAGGCAAAATGGATGCAAGTATGAAAGATATCTAATTTGATTTTATACCAGAAGTTGTATAAAAGTTAAATGCTATGTTAGTGACAGCAAATTTATCGCTAAGTGAACTCATTTTATCCAAAATGACAACAGATTTTCCACATCCTGCATTTCCTATAAGCATGGTGTTTCTGTGCTGTTCCATTAGAAGGTCAAGGAAGTATCTAACTCTTGCTGTTTCCGATGTGTTGACTAATGCAGCCTGCATAATTTTGAACACAAATTATTAATTAATTAACAGGCCAATTGTTTTAAAACAGATTGTGGAAAACACATCACTTGTAGAGGAATATCATAATCCAGTTCAAAATCGACTATTTTATCCGTCCAAGGCAAGAATCGCTTTGATTCTTGGTCGATATAGTAATCAAATACTGGAGCGTTTCCACTCTGTACAGCCACAGGAAATTTGACACTTTTGAACTCATTAATCCACCATCTTGTGAACTCCATCCTCCAATCTACTATCTAAAATATGCATAACACATATTATTAATTAAAGACATAAAAATCACTTAAAAATTAATATTAGTACCTGATCTTTGAATGTTGAAGAGCCAAAAGCCCAGACACAAGCAAACACAAAATATATCTCATACCATTCTTTAGGACACTCTGATGGGCAGTTTACAGGTATGATTAGACATTCCAGAAGTACACACAGCATCTGTATATGTGCTATATCTGGTATTGGAGTTATTTTTTTCCATTTTCCAGCTTTGTTAGCATCAAGAACTGGAGGGATATATTTTTCAAATAAGACTTGTAAGGTCATTTTTTCACTCTCATTTGATCTTGTATCTAACCAACTTGCTACATAACTGAAAGAATGTTTCAATAATAAGAACAAATCTTTTATAATTATTTACTGCATTACTCACGGGTTCCATCCCAAATCGGTTGGGTTTATATACAATATTCCAGCTCTCGATACAGTTGCTGGTGTAGCTGATCTTAAATTGGAGATTTCAAATAACAGTCTCATGGATGGTGTTAAAGCGATTCTCTCATTGCTGGCTAACGTGAGCACCTGGAATAATCAAACATGAAGTCAGAAATTACAAAAGGGAAAAATTATAGTGACCTTGTTATCATCCATGACAGTATTGAGAGATTCAATCCACATAGGATCAATGTCTCCATCCATAACCATCCATTTTGGGCCATCTCCTGACATCTGGGCTTGCTCTCTTATCAACACGGAGAAAAGACCTGTAGAGTATTTTCATGAGTTCCGTTGAATTGCATTTGTACTCTATAAAATTTATACCATCTTTCCACTCTCTTGTTTGAGGATTGATAATACCGAAGAGCTCATCGTTGGTAACAGCTTTGGGTTCTAAATCATTATAATGTGGTTTTCTTTTCATATTTGCATAAGTTTTGTAAAGTGTTTTCCAGACACAAGATTTGCCAGTACCAGCAAATCCAATTATAAATACAGAATGCCGTACAGAAAATAATTCTTGAAGCTGGCAAATCTAAAATGGAAAAATCTATTGATCCTAATTCATTACAAATTGAATAAATTGTTACCTTGAGGATAAATCCATCTTCAGGCTGAAGGGACATATCAAGGGCTGCTTGTCTGACTTGAGCTTCAAAGTTCAAATCCCTTTTCCTAGGTACATCCAGTGCAGGGAAAAGATCTCCTATAAGGCCCATAAAAATGTTCACATCGTCTGTCACAATTTTGGGAATGTTGAAATCTCTCAAGGCTCTCATTAGCACCTGTTCTTCAGGCATATCAGGATCTGCTCTCTAGTAGATGAAATTTAATAAATTAAAATTTCTTACAATACTTAATTTTATTTTGACATTACTCTTAATTTTCCAGCAATAACCAGGACAGACTTTATGGCTCTTAAACCCCAATCATAATGATCTTGCTTAGAAAGTAATTCTTTACACAGTGAGTACAACGTCAAAAACTTCTTTCCTAAAACTCTCGCCTCTTGGAAGGCTTCACCGATCAACATAATTTCACAAATCAAGTCAAAATCAGGCACCACCATAGCACAGGGTCTTTAAACGAATAAAATACAATTAAACCTATTACTAAAACATATTTAATTTGAATCACTGTACCTGAACAGAGCTTTCAAGTTTTCAGGCAATTCAGCTCTTCCAGCATATCCAGGATTCATAGTGATGAAAATTCCCACCGTTGGTATCAATGTAATCATTTCACCTTGGAAGTTGAATGTTCTCTTCTTTGACTTAATAGCATCAAGCACAGTTTTAACTTGTGTTGCTATTACAGACAATACTTCAACTGAAATTCTGTTGAATTCATCAAAACAACCCCAAGCACCAGTCTGGGCCAAGCCTTTGTATATATTACCACAAGACTGAAAATTTGGATTCACTGTTTAGTAATTCAACGTTAATCACCATTTTGACTTTCTTACCCTATAGTCCATCTGTTCTGAACAATTAAATACATATACCATCATTCCTAAACCCTTGCCAAGATCTTTTGTTGTTTCTGTTTTTCCTGTACCGGCTGGTCCTGCAGGAGCACCTCCCATAACTAAATGAAGTGACTGTTAAAAAAAAAAAAAAATTATGTTAGCTGTAAAATCTTTTGTTTTTCTTTTGGTCTGAATAAAAACCTGTGACAGTGTGATGTAGCAACGATCGGTCAGTGGGGTTATAACCAGTCGAGGGATATTTCCTAAATATTCATAATCGTACTTGAACTGAGCATCGCAAATGTTCACATAGCAATCAGATATCTTATAATCCCATCTGGAAAATATTAATACATGAGAAATGAATTATTCAAACAATGAAGAAGATGTTACCTATGTCTTAATTGTGCTTGCCATTGGAAAGCAGAGTTTGATTCAACCTTCATGGCTATAAGCTTTGCAATGACATCTCTTGAATGCACGTCAATTGTACAAATAGTTGTGATTTTCTGTCTCTCACCATCACTTAGGTCTCCCAACATTAGATTGATTAAGTTGTTTAATTGCATTATCTAATCAAAACATACTATTAAAACGAAGAAAAATTTCAAAATATATACCAAACATTACCTGTTTTTTGTTGTATTCTTTGAGAGCATTCTCATAACCCTCTTCTAATTTTCCAAAAGCGATTTCTACTTCCATAGACCACATAATCTGTGTACCCACAAGAGATACTTGTGCCGGGTAATCAAAAACCCATTTTTCTCTCGGTTTGTCATCGTAAGTGTGTAGGGCAAAATTAAAACAGTTCCTCAATGTGCGCCTCATAGCGCTGGTCACGTTATTTAACCATTTTTCAACTTGGCCAGAACATTCACAATTTCCGATAATAGTTACGAATTCGCCATCCTTTGCCCACATTCCTATGGCTGATTTTGTCGTTTTTTGCCCATCCGATTTAAACTTCAGCTTAGAAACTGAATCGTACAATTTTGTCAAGTGCCTGAAGAAAGGAAAAAAGAAAGCCAAAATGAAAATATTTAGTGATATAAACACTTTACTTACTTGCAGACAGCTTCTGGGTTGTTGCTGTTGGAGAGAATATCAAGAAGATCCACAGAAGACAAAAAATAAAAGCGAGGGAAAGCCAGTCTCTTTGTTTCCAAATATTGTGACAGTGCTTTTTCACATTTTGCCAAATCTTCTTGCATATTTTCAAGCCGTTCTTGTAAATGTGGCCTATTTGTTGCTTTCACAACATTTGGAATGGCTGCAATATCATGGAGCATAGCCTAGAATATTCAGCGATTAGTATACTAATTTTTAATTTAAAAAGAAAATAATATTGACTTTATATTAGATAATTACCTTGAATTCTTTATCAATTTTATCAAATCTTTTTGAATCTTCTGGTAGTTGCTTTCTAATATCATCAGATCCAATGAAAATCGATTCTAAATGCATCCAGGTACGCTGTACTTCACTCCAGGTGTGAATTACTTGATCAGATGTCGAGAGTTTCTTTTGCCAATCTGTTACTTCTTCGATGAAGTAGGAGACAAATTTGGAGCTCAACATATTTTGGAGAGCGGTCTAAAAATCATATATTAGTATTTTCAGGTAACAAAAATAAAGATTGAGTACAAAATTGTTATTTGTATTCATTCACATATTGTAAATTTTTATTATAGTAATTATTATTTTACCTGATTTTCCTCCAGAGTTTCAACAATTTCTTCACTAATTTTAAGCACTTTGCAACCTGATCTGGCATGTGGCTCATAAGCAAACTCCATATTTGCCCAAGTATGCCTCAAATCAGTCAACGTTTTCTCAAATTGCTGTTCTTTCACTGATTTGTCGACAATTGTTTTCACTTCTTCTTCAAATTTGTGTAAATTAAGATCAAGGAGCTCTCTGAGGGTTGTTGTATCCGTAACTGTGAATTTTACCTGAAATGAAAATCGTATATGAAGACTTTGGCATAAATTACTAAAAAAGTCGGCTTCAATATTAAAAATCATAATTACATTGGTGGCTTGCATCAACTGTTTCCAATGTCTTTCTCTCATAGAAGGATTTTGAAGTTCTGTTATAGCCCTGAGGGCTGTTAGCAAATTCTTGATAATTGATTCCAGATTAAAGTATAGATCCCATTCTCGAAGAGTTTTGTCAAGCACTGCAAGGATACGATATTTTTTTTATGAATAAAGCATTCTCTACATATTCATTATTAATGTAAGGCAAATTAATTTACATCGGAGTTCTTTGGAATATTTCTTCATTTCCATGTCCATAACTTCAGAGTCAATCTTTTTCCAAGAAGTAGACTCCCAATCTTCTGTAGTTGATTTTATAACCAGTATATAATCCCAAAGTATCTATTACAAAAAATGAAATAAACATTATTTTATTGCTGTAGGGGATTGATGTCATTTTTATACTTTTGCAAGTTTTAATTCCTTTCTGAATGTTTTCAGCATTTTAAATTCTGGTACTGGAACTTCAAAAAGGCCAGCTTGCTCTGTCAACCGTTCGCATATTTCTTCAAAATGTTTAACTTCTACATCACATTTGTCTATTTCAATGTATGGATCCCAACATCCCCATCTGTCAAAAAATGTTAGTACTTGATAAGAATTTTTGGCTCGTCAAAAATTGACTATTTTGCAAAATTTTTTGTAATATGAAACTATAAGATTAAACATTATTAATTGTGGTGATTACGAGAAAAATGGTTTCTTCTTAAATCCTGCATAATACAAGTGTTGTCTGACATCAAAAAATTGCAAACGACGCCTGATTGTATTTGATTCCTCCTGAAGAAGTGGAGCAGCATTTGCTTTTACAGAAAGTGCCACTTTCTTTAGATTGATCCATCTCTCTGGCATAATCTAATTAGAATCAATAAAATTTTACTCTTCTAAAATCATACAGTTTATATTTACATTTTTTACACAAAAACTGGTATACATACTGCAAGTAAATTAATGATATCTTCCGGAAGATCAACACCATGCGCTTTGAGTAAATCGACAGTTTCTCTCATTGGTTCAAACATCGTGTCTGCCTCATTAGATCTTTCATTGATTTTCAATAACACTCCTATCACAGCAACAAGACCGTCGTAGTCTCCCTTAACCAATGGCTTTGCCAAAGCTGCTGATGAATCATCTATGAACTTGTTTAAATCGGTCAATCTAAGGAAAAGGTGTTTTTAACATAATTTATGATCTGACGGAAAATTTAATAAATGGCAATTAAGACACACTTGAAGATAATGTCATTCTTTAGGTGGTTTTTATAAAGCATGCCCCATTGATGACAATGGTCAAGCAATGCATGTTTGAACAGGGATAAATCTATTCGAAGCCATCCGTCAAGGACATCAGTTGTGTCCATTTCATAAATTTCAGCATAAAGTTTTTCATAGTGTTCAATCTAAAATTAAATATATGTATATATAAAAAACTACATATTATGACAGTATTAGGTAAAAATGTCCACCATATTCTTAAAATCAACAAGTCTTGGCGCCTCTTGGGGCAACTTAGGAGCATTTGGATCCTCGAGCATTCTTTTTTCCATTTGAAGTTCGTCAGGTGTGAGTAATTTGTTATACTTTAGGAACTGTCTTAAATTTTCTGTACGATCTGTAGTCCAGAGATAGGAGTAGTCATAAAAATCTTGCATATATGAGTTCAACTGAAAAATTAGCAAGTTAATTATATCTCCGAGTTTTCTTTTGTTAAAGTTTTTATTACTTTGGCCATTGCAATGACAAATTTTTTCATAGTTTCAGCCTCCATGTTAATTATGTCAGGGTTTTTAGTTACATCATCCTGAAAATTGGATAATTTTATTTCTTTATAATATTATGTAATTTATTGACAATACCATATAAGTAACTGCACGTTTTCGATAAGAAATTCTTGGCACAAGAAGTGCCATTGCATTTAGATCTTTAGTTATTAAATTCATCAGTCCTATAAGTGATTTAGGATCTTCTGCATCATCATTGAGACTGGGTTCAAAAATAATATCCGGTTCTTGGAGTTTCATTTTAACTTCAAAAAGTGGTTCGTTGCCTGCAGCCATTTCTTCAATAAAGTATCCGATTCTATAAAAATAATGAAATAATTAGAAAACTGGACAAGCAGTATTTTTCTTATTCTTTTTTTAATGCTTACGCAACACCAACAGCATGCAAAAGACCTTCTTCAACAAAGTCATCAACCATATCAAGGTAACGGTCCCATCTGTTGATTTTTGAAGGATTGAGAGCAAACTGTTCCATGAGTTGGTTGTACAATTGCTGTAATGAATTATTAAATATGATTAACAAAAAAAATTACTTATGTAAATGTTTTTTATACAGATATCGTGAGATGCGGTCGGGTGTGATGTAGGTTTCAGAAAAACATTTTCTTTATCATGCCAACGTTTCGATCTTTTATTGAGATCATCTTCAGGGCCTGGGATTTACAAACAGTGTTTACATGAAACGTTGGCACGATAAAGAAAATGTTTTTCTGAAACCTACATCACACTCGACCGCATCTCACGATATCTGAATAACTATCGAATAATGGTCACTAATCTCTACATGTTTTTTATACATTTTTCAAAACATTTCACTCTAAAACTTGTTTTGTGTTATACAACACGCTTAATATGCATAAAATGTGTGTTTTGTTTGTTTAATAAAAAATTGTATGTTGGTTGAACATAATATATGAAATAAACTGTTGGAATAAGTATCTATTGAACAAGAACTTACAGAAGGAGTTGGCTTTGGCGTTGAAGGCTTTTCTTCCTCATTTGTTAAAACTACATCCTTCTTTTCTTCATCCATATCCTCTCTCTTGTCACCCCAGATGAATCCATCATCAAGCATTGGGAGGTCTAATTTTGAAACTCCTCGTGTGTCCCTGATTGTATCTATACTTTTTTTATCTTTGGATTTGTCATCTTCTTTCCTCTCTTCTTCCACTTTTATTTTTACCTTTTTCCCTTTCCCACCTTTTTTTTCATTGGCTTTTTTCTCGTCTTCTTCCGGAACAGTTCCCTTTTTCTTTTTACCCCCCTTCTTTCCTCCTCCTCCTCCAGCTTTTTTCGCCTTTCCCTTTTTCCCTTCTTTCTTTTCTTTTTTCTTTTTCTTCACTTCTTCTGGTCTCGGTTGTACAATTGCATAATCTTCTGGTTTTGGGCGTGGATAACCCCTTGCAGATTTCCACAGGTCTGACATATACCTATTATTATATTATTGGTTAACATTTGTGAATATTACTTTCTGTGTTCAGACATACATTGCCCTCATATACGGTCGTTCAAACAGCAGCATTTGTACATCTTCTTCTTCCTCCTCGTCTATTTCTTCTTCTTCCTCTTCTGCTTCTTCCTCCAATTCCTCAAACCCTTCTACATCAATAAGTGTCATGTCCTATAAATTATTAAATTATCAATTGAAACAATTTAAATTTTCCTCTCTGTCATTTATATATTTATAATTAATCCTATTTACCAACAGCGTTGCAGAAGATTCTGGATCCTCATCTAATAAAATATATTTTAAAATTAGTATCATCCAATAAATTAATTGTTAATTTTTACCTTTAGCTTTTTTCTTTTTAAGAATGCTTCCTCTAGATAATGAATGAATGTCAGTTATCTTTGGTGGTACTGGTATTGGGGCTTCCTCTTCTTCTACTTTTTCTTCCAACATCCCTTGTGAAAGTTGCTGTGAAATGTCAGTATCATCTTTTTTAGACTCATCGAGGGACGATGCACTTTCAATCACTGGGAGATCATGCAAAAGGCGGAAGTTAATGTCAATCAAGCGGTATATTTCTTCACCCGCAGCTATGATTTGATCATATCTATATAAAAGATAATATTTATATTAAAAAGTTTTATTTATGTTTTATCTAATTTAATAAGTAAACACTTTTACAATAATCTTTAAACAATAGGTGTATTTAAATTTTTTTGTATACTGAGAAAGTGAAGTAAAGTATTCTGATGTTAATTCTTTGAGTAAAGCTATCTGGACACTTTCGTATACACTGTGACAAGTAATAAAATGATTTGGTACAAATAATCCTTGATGAAATTTGTCAAGAAAATAAAAATAAAAGACACAATTTGTTTTCAACAATTGTTTTGACAATAGAAACAATACATAAAACATAATTCAGTTTTATAATAAAAGTTCTAATGGTCAAATATTCCCTGTGAATTGATCTTTGATAATCGAAACTTCATCCAATTTAAATTTTTATTGTGTACCCTCTGACCTTACATTTAACCATTTTCAATTTAGTTAAGTTTGGGTTTATGTTAACAGAATTGTTTGTAGAGATGCTACCTTCTATTCACTGAAACTAAATCGTTGTGTTGTAACAAGGATTCTTTTTTATTTGGAATTCTGCTGTATAAAGGTTTGAAATTCCACTGGTTTATAAGCTCTATAACTCTTTTAAGGTTTTCTTGTGCCTTCATAACCCTATCAGCAACAACCCAGACTGAATCTCGTAACTTTTCAATACATTCCCAATTGTCTGCAAATGTTGTGTACATGGTAATTAAACAGTACTTTTTACAAGACAATAAATCAGTTATATATTAATTCCAATAATTTTACTTGGACTTTTCCAATTGTTCCAATCAAGAATCTGTTGAATAAGAACATCGATCACAGCGATTTCATCTTGAACTATGTCAAATTCTTGTGGCTTTGTCTTTTGTCTTATCATGTTATACCTAAATAATAATATAATTTTAAAATAATTAAACCATTTTTTATTTAATTCAGTAGGGCCTTACCAGCCTACAGTCTTCGTCAGCGTAGTATTCCATAAATGTAGTTCATCACTTCTAGCAAAAAGTTCTAGGGCATCTTCAGGAATCCCCTCTACACCACCCATCATATTCATAAAACGTACTTCTCTCAGAGCAGCGATTAACTGGAAAGGATTATTACACATATATTTCAAATCTACATTAAAAATAATTTTTTAAGGAGATAAATTTCCCACACCTTTTTATCAAAATTCAGATTGAGCAGTTTAGCATTTGATATAGTAATGATTGTTTTCTTTAAATTAGATCTAATTTCATCAGGCACTTTTATAAACCATTTCTGGAGAACCTCTTCTTCCAGAATTCCAAGATTACCAATCAATTCTTTCGCCCTTTTCATCAGTAATTCCATATCATCGTTATGGCAAGACCTTCAAATAATTAATAACTGTTAATTAAAATGTTTTTAATTGAGTATTTATAGGTAAACATTACTCGTGTTCAAATTGTTCCAATTCTTCCAGTGGATAGGAGATGCGACATTTTAATCCTCTCATCCAATTTATGGCTCCCGCTACAGGTGGCCAATTGTTTGCAACATCTAAACCTCCTGTTTGCTTATACTTATCCAATTGATCAAGGTATATTTTCTGAAAATGAAATATAAATACTGGCTAGATCTTCAATGAGTAAAATTAATGATTAATTTATGCATTTGTACACAATACTTAACATAAAAGGAAAATTCTTAGACTTTGCCTCTATGCAAAATTGATCATTAGAAATACAATTTTTATTTCTGACAATTAATTATTAATATCTGAATAATTGTAAAAATTTTGCAATAAAATTAAGTTTTGTTCGGTCATATTAGTTTTGATTATTTTGCAATTTAAAACAATAGAATATGTAGACAAACACCCATTCAAACTGAATAAAAACATTTGGCGAATGATAATAGACTAACATATAAGTTAGTAATTACGTTAAAAAAAATAAAACCTTACATGTTCAACTGCAACTTCTTCCTTATAAAGTTGAGAAATTTTACTGTATTTCATAGCCATAGCTGAGTCTACAATTGGTCGATCCAAAAATGGACGAAACAGGTAAACCATCTGTAAAGATTTGATTGAATTTAGTGAATATTGCGTTTATTTGAATATTTATTTTAAATGAAGACATTTACACTGAATATGTCTCGAAAATTAGTGCAATTGTCAAATCCAAGGGCGCATATTGCAGCCATTCTATTATCAAAGTCTTTTATCTTTTCTTTGAAAACTTGAAAGTCTCGTTCCCATGAATTGTCATCTAGATCACCAGGATCATATTGTATATTACGGAGAACTTCAACAGCGGCGTTAAACTCTTCATAGAGGGTGCCAAGCCTCCGGCTCAAATTATAGCTGTAGTAACCACCGATTTCTACTTTCTCAAGCTTCTGGTATTCTATACATTGTGCAAAGACTTCCTAAAAGAATATTAAATAGTGAAATAAATACTTCATCATTGGCTAATGAATTACCTCGAGCTGTGTTAAACGTTTTATTTGATCATTGTATCTATTGAACAATTCTTCTGTTTCATAGATCCAATAAACGGGTTCTGAGAGTGGAGGAAATACTTTACCTATTTCCATGTCGTAAGATTCAAACAGTTTTCTGTAATAATAAGGGTACATAAAAAATATATTTTAATTACATTTAAATAAATTACTTACTTAAAGAGTTTTAAATTTTCAACAACTTTTTTGAGTTTTGCAAAGTTTTCGTCGAATTCACCTTGGAATAAAGAAGGAGGGTCAACTGCTTTGTAAGACTACAAACACAAGCAAATTAATAAACCCCCTTCCATTAAATATATATTCTTATTAGATGCTTACAACGTCTATAATCATATTTAAAACCAAGCTCATAAAATGATTTAGTTTTGTGTTGTTGCAAAAATATGGGCAATGCACCCACATAAGTGCAATAGAATGTATTAGTGGTATAAATGTGTTTTCTCCAATCTCAAAATCAATCGCTTGGACTTTATCAATAGGTTTCTTCAATGCATAAAAATATTTATCCATTTCTCTCGCCTCTTTTAATGCTACAATAAAATAATAATTGTAATATTATTACTTAATTAGTTGATTTTGATTTTGTTTTACCAGCCATGACAGAATCAACCAGTTCATTAAAACAAGGAAGAAAAACACTTTCGGTCATTTCAAGAATCCTAGCCATTCTTTTTACCTTTGGCTCAGTTAACTGTTCATAAATCTCTTCAAGATTCTTTACTCGAGAACCCCACCATTTAAATTCTAAAATTAATAAAACATTAGACAATAAGTAGTAAAATAGATCAGAAATAAAATATACAAAAGTAGATGGTTAAAATTATGACAAACCTGCACTTGGCAAAGGATGTTTTTGCTCTTGGAAAATCTCTGTTGAAACTCTTTTTAATATCCCTTCATTAAGTTGAATTGACCAATTTAAAACAGCACTTTCATAATTCATTCTTAACTGAACATCAATCATTTTTCCTTTCCTGTGGAAATAAAATGCGGCAATTAACTTTTTGTTGTGATCAGTACATAGATGCTATGTTTGTAAATGTTTCTTACGATTCTTTTATATTTCTTTCCTCTTCATAAACCCTATCAATTCCATCAGGAAGTGGAAGGAGGATCGCTCCTTGTAGGTCGCCTTTAAATTTAGACACAACATCTTTCATGTCTTGAACCCTTCTTGTCACATCATCGATTAGAGTTTTGGGCCATTTTTCATTGCTTGGAGATGTAATCATAGGAACTAAAATCTACGCAGATAAAATTGAACTTTGTATGTAAAAATGATTGCTCTTCAACAAGTTCGTAAACTTACATCATCAACAAGTGTAACTATTTCTTCAATCGGTTTCGGAGATAAATCGCCAAAAATTATGAGTTCTCTTAGATTGGATGGAGTGATCATAGATGAAACTTTTTTCATTAAAAAGCAAGTTTTCGCTTTTGTATTTGCCGGGTATTCGAAAGTTGGCCACATGAGACCACTTGGTAGTATGGTAATAAATAGTGTCATTTTCTCTGCTATGTTAAAGAATTTTAATATGATTGCCTAGAAAAAAGTTATAAAATTATTAATGGTGAATATGTTAATTCTAACATATTTGTAAATTCATATTTGCTAAGTGGTCACAATGGACCATATAAATTACATATTCCAATTAATTCTTCTTTTTATCTAAGATTTTTGGCTGAGATGAAAAACCTTAAATAAAAAGAATAATTAATTGGCATATTTATAAAGTTTAGTTGCTATTGAAGTTTTTGAAGTCCCTGTGGTTTTCAAAACTCTTGGTTCTCTGTGTCATAGCCAGATCTATAAAGGATAACATAGAATTTACACACTCTTTTATAAACATAGGTCATTTTCGAGGTGAAAGTTTACTATTTTTTTAGGGTGTTGTTATTACTTTTCCAAAGTGGTGGCCAAGACTTAAGAGTATATTTTAGCTTGGTTCTTCTTCTTCTTTGTCTGTATATCTGATGTCTTTTTTCAATTATCTTTAGAAATACATTGTGATTTCCCTCAATTATTACTTACTGAGTGAGGGATAGGCTTTTGCCTTTGTTTAAAACAGCAACACACTTTTTTACAAAAAATGTTTGCATTATTATTGATATTTAGCCTTTTCTCTGCTTAATTGTGATTCTGATCTGAAAAAGTTTGTGCACTTCTTGTCTAATTGCTGCCATTTTTGAAAACTATTGACTATTTCATTTCCTTTAATCTTTTCTATTCCTAGTTGTACATTAAGATCACTAAATGACTTTTTACAGGCACTCTCAGACCAGATTGAAGTTAAAAGTTTACTAACCAACACATAAATTTCCTATCTGAGAGTAAGTTTATTTTTTGTATGTATGTATGTCTATATTTTTGTATGGGAGACTCTCTGGGAAGCTTAATGATAAACTTAAATGAGTAATGAATTGGTTTGTATGTTTTGTCTTTGACGCCCCACCCAAGGAGGTCACATGTGACTGTCTACGAAGAGGTTATACCTTTTCAAGGAATACTTTCTTGGCTTCTTTCTCTGTTAGATGATATGTTCCCATTCCTCTATCTACATATATGATCTCCTCACCTTCAGATCCTTGTACACTCCCACCCTTCTGAGTGTTCTATCCACCCAGACGTATAACTACTGCATTCACCCTGTCTGCCAAGCCCCATCCCTTTCCACCTTTAAAACCCGTTTCTTTGATTTCTTCATGTCCATACATCTTGGTGCCAAAGATTTTTAATTAATTCCTATAGTAGAACATTTTCATATTTATTATATTTATATATTTTTGTAAAATGTATATTTTTGTATAGCCTTATCAGGTTCAAATCTCTGTAAATATGTTTTTTTATTATTATTACTATTATTATTGGCCTTATGATCTTGCATATTAGCCATGGTACGAATTCTTGTGTGTTCAAATTGGGGGTTATCGGGAAAATAGGGCCAGAGGCGACGGTGGGAATCGAACCCACGACCGCGGCGTGAGAGTCTCTCATGCTAACCACTCGGCTACCGCGGTCCCCCCTGTAAATATGTTGTATTCATTATTAATTATTCAAGGGGATTGAAAGTCCAGAATAAAGTTTATTTTTCATTTCATTTCTCAGCAATTTTAAGTCTCTTCTGCGTATTTATTGTGTACAGAACAGTTTTGACTATTATTAATGTACCATTTTCAAATTTGGGAATTTCATTGTTCCAAAAATTCCTGGTTTACAGAATGATTTCTAATGGTGTGCTAAAAAAGGGTTTTCATTTGTCAGTTTTTTAGGTCTTTTTTCCCCATACTTTATGTGTAGAAGTGACAAAAAAGTGTATGTATAAACTTAACAATTTATGCAATTGATTTAGAATTTAATGCTTTGGCCACCACCATACTAGAGGCTCCACATTTAACTGTGAGTCTAATTATTATAGTTTGTATCGAATATATTACAGTCAATCTTACCCTGGTGTCTTCAGTTCCCATCATCTTTGTCCACTTTTCCAGCCTGAATTTCATCACCCTTTTCAAATACATGAACAAGAAAATCAAGCGTGGATCAGTTTCCCCAATTTCTTCTTCTTCTCCGCCCAAATCCTTTTTATCATCCTCTTTTGAAGAGTCGACTGATGAATCAATAGATTGAGCAATGCTTGCCGACTTACCAATAGCCTCTTCCATTTTGTAACTCTAAGTCCCCCTAGAGACCCTGAGAATAAACAGACAGTATGTAAAATTGTAAAAATGTAAATTGAGCTTAATTATGTTTTACAATAGTTTAAATTATATGATTTTTGTCTAACTGGATTTTTCTATTCTATTTCCTTTCAAAATGAATATGTACTAGATGAAAAACAGTAGTCTAGGTTGGGGATTGTGATAGTCGAGGGGTCAGCTTGATAGGCTGTCAGCTCGTAGACCCTGTGGTCATAGGTTCGATCCCCCCGTCACCCCTGGCCCATTTTTTCATAAGACCCTTTCCCAAAACTATATATGATGAAATAATTAACAGAATTGTACTTTGGCTAATAAGCAAGCTCATAAGGCCATTAAAAAAAGTCTAGGTTAGATAAATTCTTAGTCAAGTGATGTCCCTGATATTCATCATATGTATTTTAATATTTTTAGAAGAAATTATGTGGCATATTTAAGGTGTTTTTGGTGCATATTATATGACATATTTGAAGATTTTTATTACATATAAATCTGGGCTCTAGTCATGAGCATGTAGATGAAATTTGGAGAAATTTAAAACTAATAGAAGCTCATTTAGGAACATCGAAAATAATAAAAGTCCAAGAATAGTTTCTTAATTTTCTTTAATTCTTAATTTTCAAGTTTCTTTATTAAATTATCTTAGTATAGATGAGAGGGCTGTGTACATCAAGAAGGGAAGCACAAACCCCCCCTTCATAGTACCTCCATCCATCAACATCAAGATCGTTATGCTCTTGTCTCAAGCCTTAGTATAGTCTTTATTAAAGTAAATATATGAAACGAAAAGATTGTTAACATAAAAATGTTACGTGTAAGTATGTTGCACTCTTGTGGGCAAAGAAATAAGAAAAAACCAACTGGGTGTTTGAAGGCGTATTGCTTTGCTAATATTTAATTGTAAGTGTTATTGATTCAATTTCGGTATTTTTATTCAGTTCAGTTTTTTGGTGTTTTTGATTCATAGTACATAGATGAATACATTTGTACTTCAATGACAACCAGCGAGAATAGGCGGTCCATTGATAACAAATATTACAATACGTTCGTTCAAGTTTCCGATCAACTTTAACATTTACAATAATGAAAAATTATATTATACAATCCTGCAATTAAAGAAGAAAATATTTAAACATATTATTTATGTAATTTAATTATAAAGGCTGACAGTTTCCCGCTCGAAACGTTCAGCTGCAACCTTTGAGTAAACAACCACGCATGAAACTTAAAGCATAAAAGCACATTCGATGAGGGGTAGTTATTAAATATTTATTATAAAAAAAGAACTTAATATACAACTTTTTCTTCAAAACCTACTGAGAGAGTTAAGGTATGTACATTAAACGCCTTAAACATATAAAAACTGTTCACTTTAAACAGGTGTGAACAATAAATATCGATCTTATTTTTATGTCCTTTGTAATACTTTTGTAAAAAGAAATAAATGAAAACTTTTATTAAATTGACATTTAATTTTGTTCTTTAGACTGAAGTTTTAATTGTAATAGATTCTGTTAAGATCACAGATTTGTTTCTGCTTCTTTATTACTATCTTTCCTCATTTCTTTTTGATTGAGTGATTGTCAAAAGAACAGGCACATTATTTTTTTCCTTTAGGTTTGTGGTGTATGTTAAAACATAAGCATGGCATTCCAAGAAACACATCAACAGTGCAACTGAAAATTTTGACAGACAAGCGTATAATATATGTTTAAGAAGGTTTATTCAGGTTCTAAGTTGAAGAAAATCCATTATAGGCAACTCTAGAATTAGGAGAGAATGCTTTACCACAGCGTTTGACAGTTACAAAATTTATTGGGTCTGTCACTCGTGGGTTTTTTGATGTTAATCAAACGTGTGTCATCATTCTCCATAGTCAATGGGGAACTGAATGTTGAGGTGTTGACGGACCCAATAAGTGTCCCAGTGTTGGTTCAACACGAATTCACCGATTAGTAGACTAATATCCACCATTAAAAGAAATTTGGCTAATCATTTATCATACAAGCTTGTAAGATATATTTAAGGCGATTTATTCAGGTTCAAAGCGGAAGAAAATCTATTATTGACAACTCAGGAGAAAATGCTTTCCCACAGTTGTTGACAATAACAAAGTTTTTGCTTTATTCAGAAGTGAAAATGAACACGAAAGAAATTTGTTGAACCGGCACTGGGTCTGTCATTTGTGGGGTTTTCGATGTTACTCAAACACGCATTGGCATTGTGCCATCTTCAGTGAGGTGTAGACGGGCCCAATAAGTGTCCTAGTGTTGGTTCAACCTGTGTTCACTGACTTGCAGACCAATACTCACAATCAAAAGAAATTCATCTCTACTAAATCATTACTCTTACAAATAATTAGTTCATTGATATTTTAACTAACAATGAAAAATATCTTGTGCAATGATGTTTCCTGCCAAAAAAGTTTATTATACATCTCCCAGATGTTTCAAAACATCAAATTTATGAGCAAAAACTTATGCTTGTCTGGTGGGACAGTTTGAACTTTACCACCGATTATTGGCCATCGGTGAATTGTATTGTGAACAGGCTCAATAAATCCAATGCATCATCCTCCATTTATCAATATGAATGGTGTTGATTTCTGTCATGACATTTGGCTTTAAAAGTAGGAATTAAAGCCACTTCAGTGGGAAATGTTACCAATCCTCTCTGCATTCATTCACATCGTACACGAAAAGGCCAGGCCTGAATATACATATGGGAGTCATTGAAAAATGCCTTCAGCTTAACAAAGAACTCTATATAATAATAGACATTGCCAGTAAAGTGGCAGATTGCTTTAACCTTAATCAAATGGAAGTTTAAAATTTCATGGATTCGTTACAAAGTTTTATTGTGAGATTTTTACATATTGTCTGTTGGGCGATGAACCTGAAATTTGGTCATTACTGATCATTTTGGTCTGCAACTCTTGCTGGGTTCGTTGTCAGATACGTTTCAGCATTTTGCAATCTTCAGGATGTCTGCATTTCAGTTATAATTCAATAAATCTTACTCAAACAGCACTTAGAAAGGATAGGCTTGCTAAAATGATAGATTGCGACCAAATGATAAAGTTTCAAATAAAGAGGATCAAGATGCTGCCTAAATGGGCAATCAATTGTTTATTTCTCATTATGAACTAGATGGTTTTGCATTTTTGGAGGAAGGCGAATGTGAAAAAAATACCTTGGGCAATGGTGGGATTGAACCCACGACCATCGGGTCTACTAGGTGGGTCTGACATGCTGATCACTCGGCTACTCTGTTCCCCCAATTATTTATTTAAATAGTCTTTAAAAAAAAAAAAGTTAAAAATTTCATTTCTTGACAGCTCAATAAAATGATGGAGTTGATCATACTAGTGGATAAATCTGCCATGTCCAAGTACAAAGTTGAAACTGTTGCTTCTTGTTTAATTGTTAAGAAAATTAAGTTGATGGTAGCCATTGGTTTATACCATAGCAATTAACAGGTGGAAACATATAAAACCAAAATGTTTTCCAGTGGGAAAAGAAAAAATTTTTTTGGACCGGAGGTAAATTACGACAGATTCACTGATGCACTAGTTCCTTATTATATTTTTTTAAACACTTCCTTTCATGCATGCTGAATTTTTTGTGTTGAAAGAAAACAAGTGTTTAACATTTGAAATTTTAACTATTCACTAGAATAAACTTGTATTTTAAATGTTTAAATGTTAAAAATTAAAAGTCTTTTATAAATCTTACCTATAATTCTATTTTGCTGTGCCTCTACAACTCCTTTGTTCCCCCTATATTTGACTTAAAATAGAAAAAAACTACTCTACACAAAATCTGATTAAACATGTGTCCATTTAAACATGTTTATGTATTACAGGCTGAAAAATAAATGTGGTAGTACTGGGCAAGTGAAATTGAAATGCAGATTTATTATTTGATTGGTTACAGAAAAGTTCAAAATTATAAAAATAGCAGTTGTATAGATTTAACTAAAAGCTATACAAATAAATAACTTACAACATTAAACTACATTTGTTATATTAATGTAACAGACTTTTTTTTGGTAGTTTGTGTTATTATTTTACTATCTATTCTAGTATTTGTAAAAAAATTTTTTAATGTTAAAGTAAATATGATATTTTCAGCACATACAACATTAAAAGTATATTTTGCTTTTATATGGCATTAATGTTTTCTGAATAAATCAGTGGGGAAAGATAAAATAACATTTACATGATGAGGTCTGCAAGGTGATGAATTATAGCATGATCGTCCCTGATTTTCTAATTCTTTTTTTATAGGCTTTGTTTGTCAGATACATTTATTTTAATATTGTACAGCTTGCTATCAATCCAGTGTATTGACTGGTCTGATTAAGGTACAAATCATGTTAAGGCTAAATGAAGTATCATTAAAACTTTGAAACTCGGGTGCCTTGAAAAGTCTTGATCTAAAGAGTTCCCTTAATATTTCATAAAATATTAACTTTTTACATTTGGTTCTTTGCTGTTTCATTATTGTTGTGTAGCTCATCATTATAAAATGTCAAAATTTTTTGAATTTTAGATGGAAGGGTTTTTAAAAACTGGAAAATTGAACAAAGAAGATGCTACAAAACAGTCAGTGCCAAAGGAAAAACTATTGAAAAAGCCGACACCATGGGTTGAAAAATATAGACCAAAAACAGTCGATGAAGTTGCTGAACAAAAAGAGATTATTTCAGTTCTAAAACAGTGCCTTAATGGTGCAGACTTACCACATCTTTTGTTTTATGGCCCTCCAGGTATGAGGCTTAAATTTAGCTTAATACTATATCTTAATAATACCCTTGAAATATAAGTATTTATTTCTTTGTTATTTAGGTACTGGTAAAACTAGCACAATAATTGCTGCTGCCCATCAATTGTTTGGTGACATGTATAGAGAGAGAATTTTAGAGTTAAATGCTTCTGATGACAGAGGGATTCAAGTAATAAGAGACAAAGTTAAGAATTTTGCCCAGCTGACTGCGAGTTCTACTCGTAATGACGGTCGGCCTTGTCCGCCTTTTAAGATCATAATTCTTGATGAAGCTGATTCCATGACTCATGCAGCACAAGCAGCTCTTAGAAGGACAATAGAAAAAGAAACGAAAACCACTAGGTTTTGTTTGATCTGTAATTATGTGAGTTGTATAATACCACCTCTCACTTCGAGATGCACCAAGTTTAGATTTAAACCACTAGGGGAAGGCATGATACGGACTAGATTGGAAATGATTTGCAAACAAGAAGAGATCACTTGTGAACCCGTCGCTCTGACCAAATTGGTCGAAACATCGGGAGGAGATTTGCGTAGAGCCATCACCTGTCTACAGTCATGCGCTCGGCTCAAAGCTGGGGAACCCATTACGGAAGAAGACGTTTTCGAAGTAACCGGTATTGTGCCACAGAAATGTATTGAAAGTATAATCGAAGCGGCTAGAAGTAACAGTTACGATAAAATTGAATCCACTCTCGAAAAGATAATGGCAGAAGCTTATTCTGGTTCTCAGATTCTAGAACAGCTTCTAGAATTTGTCCTGAATGATATGGAGATACCTGATATGGCAAGAGCGAAAATTTGTGAAAAACTTTCTTTATGTAATTATAGACTTCAGGAAGGATCAAGTGAATTCATTCAGCTAGTAGACTTTTGTTGCACATTTGCTAAAATTTATCAAGAAATTTCTTAGTTTATACATGTTATTTATTTATTTTTTAACACAAATAAAATAATACATTTGGCAGTTTTGAATTCCAGCTGTTTCTTTAATTTTTTACAAACGATATCACGAAGAAATATATTAACTTTAATCAAATTAAAGTCAAAATACATGCTCATGCTACTTGTTCTTTTAATGCTCAAGACATAAGCAACTAAATTTAAATTTATTTAATAAAATAATGTACACTCACTTTACAATACAGCTATTATTTACTCTGTAAGGAAATAATTGGGCATTCTATCTGTATATTGTAAGTTGGAGGAGACACTGCTTTTATTTGTTTTATAAAACAATATTTTTATGCAAAACAATTAAGTACGTACATTTCATTTGTACGATTGTAAAGGGTTAGATTTAGAAAAAAAAATGGTACACCAACTATTAATTATATTTGTAAGATGTACATATTTAAAATGGTATAATACAAGCTAAACGAGTTCATTCAATTCAAAAGAAACAAAAATTCATAAAAATACTATTTTACAATATGAAATATTAATAACAGTTATTATTATAACTTCTGTTAAATAAACAGTTACTTTTGGTGTAATGGGACACCCATAAGATGTATTAATTTGTAAAAGTTTAGTAGAACTGTTTTCGTCATAAACAAACAAAAATCAAATTGAATTTTATATAAACCTAGTTCTCTGGTTTTGGTATTTAATTCAGAAAGTGCTGGTTCTCTAATCGGAGAGTTGCTGATCTATAAACACAAACAGCAAAATGTACTCAGGAACTTTCTTGGTTTCAAATTAAATTTTATGTTCTGTTAGTTTTGTTTTTCAGACGGCCATTGCTTGCAGTGCCCTTACCAACTATTGTAATTATTAAATTTTTTTTGCTCTTATTCATTCTGCAATTTTATTTTATTTATTTTTTTATATATTGAAACCTGTGTATGTTAAAAGTTAGTAACACTATTTTTAAAATTTTATTTTATTTGTAAACTATCGTAACGGTCAGCACTGCTCCCGGAGAACAAATGTTTTGAGAAACCAGCCTAGTCTGGTATTTTCACTGCTGTGGGATTAGGGGCGAGTAGATCTTAAGGGCAACATCGTTTAAGACAGCGTGGAGGATTATGGGGATGGGAGATAGTAAAAAGGGATTGAATGGAATGGTTAGGGTGGAATTTCAGGTTGTGGGAACGAATCAAATCTTGAACGAAGGGAATGTCATCTTGGATGGTAAGGTTAGTGACGTAGTAGGGAGCTGAGATAATTGTCTGAGGACTTTTGGTTGCAATGCTTGGATAGGTTGTATAGTGGGTGGCTTCAGGGTACCCCACAGTTTTGCTCTGTATGTCCAAATAGTCTAATTACTATTTTGTTAAGTTTGTTAGTCATCAGATTTTGACTCTATCAGTGTTCTTAGTTATGTGTGTCTTCTGTTCAGTTCTTGTCGTTTCAGCCTAGTGTGTGGATTAAAGTCTGCACTCTAGTAGTCCTAAGGTAGGCCGTCCACTGGAGCAAGTTCAGCCGAATAGGGCCGGATGATCCAAAAGCGAAGAAACGAATGAGCACGCGTCCTTTAGAACCAATTCGTTCGGTCGTGAAGCACTTTCCGATCCAAATAAAGTTGGATTTTCCAGTCCTATTCGGCCAAATGGTTACTTCGACTTCAACTGTCAACCATGTGACATCAAATGCTCACCATTGTTTAATGTTGTTCTTTGCATTTTGCCTACCTTTTCGTTTCGTTTTCATTTCAATGGATTGCGAAAAATTGATGTGCGGTTGAGGAGCAGGCTCTTGGGACATGCGTGATCCACTCAATCATCGGAGAGATGTCCAGCGTAAGCTGTGGTCAAGGAGGTCTTTAGAAATGGAACTTCTAATATTTCTGTTTATTTCTTTCATTCCATTTGTATGTAAACTAAGAATTTTCGAGCAGCAACAAATCTACATCCATTTGGGCTGTGTCGTAAACTGACGAAAATCGGCTACAGTGGACGACGGCGTTCGGCTATATTGCCGGTCGTCAGTTTGGTCAAATAGTTCGGCTGTTGAACGGCCGTCGTAGTTCGGTTCCAATGGACGAGCAGCCTAAGTATTTGATGTATTTGTATGTCAGAAATTTCTTGTTTGTGTATAGTCTAGGGAAAGTTTTGTTTAGTATAAAAGTGATTTGGTAGTAATTAAAGTAAAATAATTTTAGTGTGAATTTTCAATTTTACCTTCCACTTTTGGCACCATTCTTTAATGAGTTCGAGGTGTTCTTGAGTATTTGTGGTGGCTGGAATGGGATTCTGTTTGTACTTAATATTGCAGTATTGTCCAGTTAGGTTTAAAGGGTGGTGTTGGAATGGTTTGGCAGGTCAGCAGTAAAAATATAGGATGGGACCAAAGATGCGCCCTTGTGGGACACCAGCTTGGATCCATTTTATCTCCGAAATTCATTGCTGCACCTCACTCTGAAGCAGTGACTGGAGTACAACAGTAATCTTTCCTGCATGTTATGTCAAAAAAGGCAGTTTTTGTATTATTTTTCAAGGTTTGTGGAATGATTTAGTATGCATCGGTCATTTTCAATACAGTAGTTATAAGGAACAATTGGTTATAACATACAAAATCTCTGGTCCCATCAAATGTCACAAGGAAAAAAAAATATAATGAAATATTGTTTGTAGCGGAGAGCACCAAAAAGTAACCCCAGCTGCCTAATATATCTAGGAAAGATTCTTCCCCCTTTTTTAACTCTAAATGTCTAAAAAATCTATAATTAAAAAAATAAAAACAAAAACTACATTCACATTTGTATACATATGTACATAAATATATTTTTAAAAAACATTTATGAAAATAACTTACTTTAGCAGGTAGTACATGTTTTGTAACCTGGATAAATTATATAATTACTAATCTAACGAAAACTGCTCAGCTATAAATGTATGATACTATCAATTAAAAGAAATGTTCAGATATAATGAACTGTTCACGATGTATTGCTTGTAGTGAATATCACTTATTACAAAATTTTATGGTCCCTGAAGCTCATTATATTATAAACAATTTATTCTGCAGTTACTCTGCATATCCTTGCTCTTTTGGTCCATCAGATGTGTTTTGGCTTTTTGCCATCTTCAGTGGTGGTTTCGTTTTATGCGTGACAGACCAAAGCAGTGAGGTAGGCCAAAAACGATTGTAAATGACTGCTACAAGTTTTTTTGGATAGTATTAAATACAAGAGGTATTAAACAGAGAAATACATTTATTTAAAATTAAAATTTACAAGATTCTTTACACCATTGAGAATTCATTATTTTTAAATACATTGGTAACAACTAAGTTAACATTTTCAAATGCATAATCAATAATTTCTTTACATTAGGTTCACATGTATGTCTTGGACCTTTTACAAATCTGCAATTTTGTTACCCTGAGGAAATAAAAAGAGAATTAAACATTATTTCGTTACAAAAATTTGTTCATAAGATAAGGTATAACATACCCATTCTTGTGACATTATCAGGATTGTGCGGGTTGAGAGCCTCGGCCCAACTAAAGGATTCATCTGTGCCATGTACGTGCACAGCCAACTGAAATTTTTTTAAAATTTATATTTTTTATTTATTTAAAATAAAATAAATATGCTTTAAATAGTAGAGTTCAGAACATCACTTGGGCCAAATAGGATTAAGTGGAGTCAACCAAAATGCACCCGTACACACAAATAAGGAAAACTCTCCTCAAAAACCAGAAATTAATATAAACCAAACTTATTCATTTTAATTTATTTCAAATAATTGTGCAACAGCAGATTGTTAAGGTTGTTTTTCGATTTTACATTTTGTTCTATTAATTTAATCAGAACTTATACAACTCTTGGCAATAGTTAATTCAACTTTTAATGACAAATATTACCCATTAATTAAATTCAATATAAGAAATTTTTAGCATAAATCTAAGTAGGTATTAGGTCCAATGTAACTGATCTGTATACAATTTTGCAGCGGTTCTCTTCTGACCGTGGGCAATACTTCCTTGTTTTCTTCTCTATCTGATATCTTCCATTCCTCTTAAAATTATATCATCTCACCTTCAGATCCAATATACACTTTCATAAAACTCGCCCCCGAACGCACAGAATACTGCGTTCAGTTGTTCCTTCCTATCCCATGATGACTTCAACCAATATTATTCTCTTCCTCACTCTATCTGCTGAGCTGTTGAGGACATCTAAGTCCCATCTCTTTGATTACCTCTTGCCTTACAACTTGGCACTGAAGATCATTTTAATTGTCCCTTTTTAAGTTAAATTCCATTGTGGAGTGTTTTCATTTTGAATGTTTACAAATTAGTTGTTTTCACAATTAATTTTGAGTGAGAATTTTTTATCCCCACGGATTTAATCTGTCAGCTTAATTCAGTGGTGGGTCTGTGATTCCTGTTTAGCTGCATCATACATGCATTATACACATCACAAAAAGTGCTGATAGAGGAAAAAGTGTTTTGGCGTTATTTTTTTATTTTTTCTGCTGGTGTCTTTGGGGCAGTGATGATAGGCAGACCAAAATTATTGGAAATGACCAAAGTAAAAATATAACGGTGCTTGATACTCTTAACCCTTCCATATGCAAAAATGCCTTCACAAGATACTTACCAATATTAGATACGTGAATAATAGGAAATACTTAGAATTTCAGGCTTCGAAGCATTTTATTCTATCTGCACACTATTAGACATTTCTGTATTGCGTGTGACTATTGTCATGTTACATACGAACTTTGTACACATATTTCAGATTTATTCCACACAAGAAAACAACATGTACATACATACATCAACAGGTATGCACGACATCGAAACAAACGAGAAAAAATTATTAGGGGCCTAAAAAAGATAAAATTGATAAAAAAGAAAAATTAAATTTAAGAATAAAAAAATGGCGGTAATCGTGGATAACAAGAGACTTTTTTATTACTAATAAATGTTGGGATAATTGATGTTAGTAAAATTTTGTGTAAAATTGCTGTATTGAATTTATTTTAGTTATCCTATTTGATGACAATGTTTATTCCAGGTCTGTATAGTTACGTCTGAAGATGCCTTTTTAGGATAATGATGATTTACTTAAATATTGAGTCCTCATTTAACATTCATAATCAGTCTTAAGTTTGACACAGCTGAAAAAAAAGACATTTTGGCCTAGGGATTTTACCCAATGAAGATCAAAGGTAGATTGAAGAAATTAGACTAGTTGCAACTTGTCCTTCCCGAACTACTCAGTAATCAATAGCTTGGAAGAAAATTAAAAGTCTCCAGGCATTAACCTGGAGGATCTGGAAAAATAAAAACCGAAAAAAAAAGCGTACTGTACGAATCAATGGATGTCCAGTTATCAACTCAAATCAAAACAAAATATGTTCCCCTATTATACAACAGAAATGGGCCTTGTTTTTTCACATCATGTCACCTTTGACGATAAGCAAGCCATAAGGGCGAGAAAACCTGGCCAAGCCTACACCCAAAAAAGTTATGATTCAATGATGACATGGAGATTGGGTAGTCTAATCTACTATTCTTCTTTGAACAATTGCATACTTAAAAAAAAAAAAAATCAAAATTCGTGAAAAAACAAAACTCAATATTCAGCCCATGTTTCAAGGTTGACCTCCAAACGGAGGTTCAACCAAATCTTTCAACCAAACTGACTTTCACTTTGTTTGGACTTAAAAAAAAAAACAAATTTGACAATGGAAATTCAAGTCCACCTTTGAAGAATTTCTCATTGTTAACGATGAAATGCAGTTCACTGGAAGACTTCCACTTATACATTATATGCTACAACCCAATAAATTCAAATAGTACAATGAAATGTGACAGATTTACTTGCATACACCGTAAATCCACTAAATTACAACATAATTACAAGTTACAACGATTATTTAACGAACATAAACAAAATATAGTAAAATTTTAGAATAAATAGCCTATGCAAAAATTGTGAGGGATATAAGGGATTTTAATATAGACCTTTATATTACTTACAACAGCCACGAGCATATCGCCGTAAGCCCCAGGGAAAGTTGAATCAACCTACAACAGAATTAATTAGAGAACAATGAAAAACATCATATAAGAAAGAAAACAAATGTTTACCCTCTGTTGTCCCCTTTCGGTAGGAAAATAGGAAGGACGACCCCAACGGCGCCCCAAAAGGCGGTCATGAGTGTTACCGGTAAGAAAGAAAAACCCATTTTCCCTAGAAATTTAGCTTAATTTAAGTTTTAAGTACAATATGATATTGTCAAGAACAAAGTGGGATGGGCTGTCTAGGACAACTGTTTAGGAACACAACAGCTGAACCCAGTGGGGCCAACCTAACTTGACCATACTTTTCTAACAATTATTAAACTTTGTTAATTAATGTTAACTATTATTATTAATTATTCATAATAATTTTAATGGTTAATAAACATTTTTATTTTATATTTGTTTTTAGTGTAACATCATAATAACAATTTTTATATTTTAGGATGGGGCGCTAATCAAATCTTGCTCCGTCACTTTCATTTAGCTTAGGAGCAGTACTCTAAAGTCTAAGGTTCAAAATATTAATTTATTGCTCTTTATTGTGATGTAGGATGTCCGACTATCTTAAAAAAAAAAAAAAAAAAAAAAAAAAAAAAAAAAAAAAAAACGGGGCATACCAAGTCATCTTGTAAGAACAGAGCACGGATCAACAGCCTCGTTTAAGATTGGGAAAGGAGCACGGGAGATTTGTATATCTTCACCATACCTATTTAATCTGTACGCAGAACACATTATGCGACGTGCTTGAGGAATCCAAGGCTGGAGTTCAAATCTCTGTAAAAAGCATTAACATTTTAAGATATGCGGAAGACACCACTTTGATAGTTGAAAGGAAGGAGGAGCTGAGGAGCCTTATAATGAAGGTGAAAGAAGAAAGTGCATAAGCTGGGTTGCATTTAAATCTTAAGAAACCAAGATTATTGCATCCAGCGTGATTGATGTCGGCAAATAGAGGGAGAAAAAGTGGAGACACTGACAGATTTTGTATTTCTAGATTACTGCAGACGATGACTGCAACCATGAAATTAGAAGACGTCTACTTCTTGGGAGGGGAGCAATGGCGATTCTTGATAAAATAGTTAAGTAGTAACCTGCAACTGCAAGTTGATGCTTTTGAACTGTGGTATTGGAGGAAAATTCTGAGAGTGCTTTGAACTTCAAAAATATTCCATACTGCAGAAAATAAAGCCCGACTTATCCCTTAAGAGAATGATAATAAAGACAAAACTGAAATACTTTGGCCACATAATGAGAAGACAGGATACCCTAAAAAAGAAGTTGCTGCTAGAGGAAGTGGAAGGCAAAAGGAATAGGGGCTGACCAATGGCAAGATGGACTCAGCCATGGAAGAATTGGGGATGGGACGGCCGACAGGAAAGTCTTGCGTGGGTTGGTCCGTGAAATCACGAATAGTCGGAAACGAGTGAACGAATAAACAACGACAATTTAACCGTAATAACTTAAAACATTTAACTTATTTCCCTACCCGATGGAAATTCTCTCCCATTCGCACGATCCATAAGCCTAACAACCCAATTCCTCGTACCGTCCTATAATTGTCATACCAATCCTCGGAAAACTACTTGTGAAACTACTGCTAACTTGCCAGCAGGAAATTCTACCCACAGCCATTTAATCTTCTTGTAGCCACCGCAGCATCCTTAGAGCGGTAGCAGTTCCGCTCTGAAGTCTTTTTGTATACTCAGGCATTCGAGCTAGGCTGGTTCCAGGGTTCACTACTGAACTCCAGCTTTCCTTTCTAGTACATACTACCTCATCCTAAAATTCTTCCGTGTAACCTATCGAACCTCAATCTAAGATTTTTTTTTTTTTTTTTACAAAGGTCCGTTACTTTTTATCACAAAAGGCAGACTTCCTTCAACCCTATAACACATCCTTACTCCATGACACCCAAGGACTCTCCTGTTTGAAAAGACTTACTTTACACAGTGGAGGGTACAGTAATCCTTCTAAGCCACCTATTTACCAAGTTAGCATTTATATTCATGGTTTCGTGGATAAAACGGAATTGTCAATATGTGTCTTTTACCATAAAACGCAAAATACATCGTCGCGTTTATCTGAATAAAAATCCATTTCCTACTGCAGATCGCGCCTGGATCCAGTTCGACTGTTGAAACTAAATTTTTTCCTTTCTACTAGATATTAGGGGTATTCACATCTCATCCTAAAATCCTACCTATCTGATCATTTCTTCGATGTTACTTACGAACGTCAACCGCTCTGATTCATTCTTCCCTTTCTGGTGAGGGAGCACCTAGGCTTTTTACTTTTCAGCATATACACTCACCTTGTGTAACCCTTACCTTTGCTGACCGCACATATAAATCGATCAGTTCTCATTTCATGTAATTCAATTTGCGATAAACAAGCTTCCTAGCATTGAACACCAAAAAATAAGATTCTTAATTTAATAATTAAAATAAATAAATTATTATTTATGAAGAATAAAAAGGGTAACAAAAACGAAAGAAGCATCTAGTAATGTAGCCGAAGTTATGTTAACAAAAATTAAGCTTTTTTTGTTCATAAGTTGGAATAAACCAAACGAATTTTCAAATTTGAGCTTAAAAGAAAATTAAAAACCGGTCTTTTGATGAATAACTAGGACCCGGACTAAATGGTAATTTATTTGGGCAGCAGAGACCCTTGGGATAGCCGTGTCACGTTTAATTTATTCCATGACAACATTGTAATTTTAGAGATAATTAGGTTTGAGAAAAGAGTTTCTTGTGAGAAAGTACGAACCCACGTTTTACCTATCCATCGGCACAGGTTCAATCGGAAAGTTGTATAATTCGACGTCATTGGGCAATGACTCCACAAAAATACGATGCACAATTATCCGAGCCTCTTGCCTCATTGCACCAATCACCTCACAATCTTCGAAAACCATTTTTTTTACCAGTCTCGCCTTTCGATTTAATCCATTTTCTTTCGGAACAGATCAACAAGATCAACACACTGAATTCGTCATTGATTCTATAATGTTTAAAAAATAAGATATCATTTTTAGAGGGAAACTCTCATTTGGCTCCATTATGTTTTATGAATGAAAATGTTTGTTGTTGACACTGTGACCTTTGAAGGCCTCATGCACATGCGAGAGTCCTTGCCTACTTTCACGTGATGTGTTTAAGGCCTTAGCTCTTTATTTGCATTATTGTTTGTCATCGATGCATTGCATTGGATAATGGTATTGTCCCTTAAAAACATTCGCCCGTTGAAGGTCGATTGGTGGTCAATTTTAAACAGACTTGAAATTATGGTAGATTGAACTCTTCAACGGTTAAGTTACGTAAGTCAGGGCCACGCGACTTCACCAACTTTTTCGTACGACTAGATTTTGAAGAATCATCGGGTGGGGAAGAGAATAATGAGGAAATAATAACCCGTAAGACTTCTGGTGAAATGTAATGGCCGCATTATAGGAATAACTGTCTCTCTCTAACGTAACCAGGTCTGGTTTCTGAAATATGCCAGTAACTATGACACATTTGGAAGGATACAAGCGCAGCAACATTCCTACGTGCGATTTTGACGTTTTTTTTTGCCGGGCGATATTTATTTTTCATATCTTTCTGAGATGACAGACAAACAAACGGATTGAAAATTTGGAATAGAGAATTTATGAAGAGTTAAGTCCCCTTGGAAACCGATTTTTATTACATCAAGCTAATAGCGATATAATAATAAAATATAAACAATAAATACAATATGAAACAGTTTATTTATTCTAGCATTGACTGTTGTACCACATCAGTAGACAGGTTTGTCGTACCTCTTGCTTATATTTCTTTAAAATCACTGAATCACATTATTTGATATGTCTCGGAGAGCACAAATTGATAGTATTATGGAGTTTAGATTTACACTATAACCATAAACCATATCGTGTCACTATCTTAACTGTTGCTTTAAAAATAAAGATTACCGTCGGTAAGATTCTACTTCTTCTTCATAGTTGCTGCACAGTGTATCCAGCTGTGTTTCATGTATACTTTTAAACTTTCTTTAATGTGTTTAAAAGTGAATAGGAAGACCAAACTGAGCGAAATGGACCAAGCTGCAGATTTGAATCTTTGTTAGGTTATGTCTTTAAACCATTCCCCGTCAATATGTATTTCTATATTACTAATACCTTTAAAAAATGAAAATAATTGTCGAGCAGATTCTTCTTCTTCTTCACAGTACTTGCAAATTGGATCCTTCTGTGTTTTTGATGTCTCCTTTCACAGTTTATTAAATTTGGTTTAGAATTGGAGTTGCTAATGCCTAAAATGCAACCTGAGTATTGTAAAACAGTGAGGATAGACAGACCAAACTGACCAAGCTACAGTTTTTGACTTATGTAAGAATAAGTCTATAAACCATTCCATGTCACTATCTAGCTATAGCTTGAAAAATAAAATAATTGCCGGTAAGATTCTTCTTCTCCTTCACAGTACCTGCAGATTGGATCCTTATTATTTTTGATATCGTCTTTCCCATTTACATAAATTGGTTGAAAATTGGATTTGCTAATGCTTAAAACAGGTTATACACCTCTTGCAGATGCTCCCGTTTAGATGTCCGGTTCCTGACGGTCAAGTTAAAGACCTTGTACTAAGGATAAGTTATTTGACTCCGAATTGAAGGTTTTTAGTGAATTCTTCCTCTAGTTTTATATTTGCAGTCGCAGCTCTAATTCAATTAAACAGTTAATTTCTAGTTGGATTTTCTCGTAATGACATGTAATCCTGCTTAGAAGGCTGTATATGACTATAAGACTGTGTACGTATATGTGAGAAATATGTTTCTTTTTTGTAACAATGTTGGGGGTGATGTGTTGTATAAAATGATTAGTTCCTATTTCATATTGTCTATTTTGTGATGAACAATAGAATGAACTATTAAAATCATGAACTGAAGCTTCATTCCTTTTAAATCTAAAAATCTAATAAAAATATGATTGACTAGGCGAGTTTAATTAAAGAAAACGTATTTGGTTCAATTGTTAAGCAATAATGAAATCAGGCGAAAGGGAGAGGGTAATAAAAGAGAGGGACAGAGTCAGAAACGAGAAGCAGTAGTGAAAGCAAAAGGGCGATTTCATAACTGTTGTCTCATTAACCTGACATTGCATCCCAACGAGTTGCCGCCGAACTCGGGTTCGAACCAGGCCCAGTTGAAAAACTTCGGCTCTATTCAAAAAGCGTTTTGCCGCCTCTTGCCCAACGTGGACACATTTTTTACGATCCAG